GAAGATGACAGTGAAAATGACAAATAGCAGGATAAAGATAAGAGAACAGTAATATCCTCAATAGCATTGCTAGTCGTTATCATCACATCAGGGAAGATAGCAATACGATAATCAACGCGGGGATTATAGACAGAGAAGAAGAAGAAGGAGATGAAAATGATGCAAGAGGGTAGTGAGACTAATCTGAGTTATGAGGAAGGGGAAGAAAGGGGGTGTGGGGGGTTAAGGTCGTTTGACAGACGGCAGAACCTCCTTGAGCTCCCCACAATATATCTATGACACCTGGCTGCCAGCGCTAAGGCCGGTCTCCTCAGAAAAAAATAACATGTAACCGGCAGTATTTTATCTATATGTATCATGTGAAAAAAATACCATTTCGCTTTTATTTCTGTACTGTTTTTTTTTTTTTTTTTTTTACAGATGTGATATGGGGATGTAATATATGGGGATGTTCGCCAGCATCTGACAGTCGAGACGGACCGTTATTGAATTTGTGAGACGGGTAAGATTATACAATTATACATTATACAATGAATAGCTAATCAAAGAAAGAAAATGCCCAATATAACGAATATGAGTTTATATATAAGCTACGTGACACTTGCGTATCTCCATTTTCTCTTATTTCTGTATTCTCTCTATTGTTATTATCATAATCGTTTAGTTATTCCCTTTCGTCGTTGAGGACGCAAGCCAAAACGCAACGTGGTGCTACCTGGTCAGGCCAGAAGGTCGCCTAACGTGCTGGCTAAAAATAACGCCCATGCTCATATCATGATACCAAAAGAAAAATCTTTTTTTTTCTCTGATTTTTTTTATTATAACAATTATCACATTTTTCGGAAAAAAAGTCAAGAAAATATGACTAAAAGCTTTATTCTTGACGATCTTATATCACTTATTCATTTCATTAGCTCATGTCAAATAGTCAGTCCACTTTTATCCGACTGAAACATGACGCGGCCCCTTCATTTCACACGACCAGGGGCCAAAGCAGCCCGGTAAGAAGGTCAGTATTAAAAATGTCGCCGCTGTTTTTCCTTTTTGCATTATCATAACATACCGCGAGACACATGGTAAGATCTAGTTTTCTTTAGCAAGAAAAAAAAAGGTAATTATTGATTTATTTCTTTTTTATTTTTTTTTGAACTTCCTGCCTTCCCCACTTCCCTGGCAATACCAACTTACTTGCACAAATAAAGTTCAGATTCCTCTCCCTGGCACCAACTTACCGCCATTGGAATGTCTGACCAACACGATGAAGGTCTTTGTTACCACACGTGAGCGGAGTTATTTTTGATACTGTTGTGTTTGTTTTTTTTTTAAGCCTCCTCCGAGAGTATCATGCGATGCAGGTAGATGCAAGAGAAAATAAAATAGATATTCCTATCTTTATTTTTTGCAACTGAGAGAAAGGAAAGAAGGAAAAAATCCCGTTAACAACAATTTATCTAAAAAATGAGAGACAATATCCATACAATAATCGAGAAATATACATAGTCGAATGCGTAATTTTCATCGGTGGACAATACTCTACGGTCCCGACACGCCACATTTCACTTACTCTTGGCCACTTCCTTTGGATCAGGCTACGGTTTTTGTTGGCAGAGATTACTCTTTTTAGAAAAGTACAATATGTATATGAACTAAAATAGCTACAAATGAAGGCTATATCGTGCATTCGGGGTCGTAAATAAAAATTGCATTTTATTATCATATTAGAAACCCTTAAATATGTTTTGAAAATAATGATTTAACTATTTTATATCACTTTTGCGTAACTGGAGCTGTATGTACAGCATAGACACGAAAGAAAAAGATTGAAAAATAATGCTCATATATACACATTCAACAGCATATAAATCTGAGAGTTTGTGTAGACTTGTATATGTGTTTGAATGTGTATGTCTTTGTTCATGATACGTGATTACATGAGCATTTGAGCGTGTTAGAAAGAAAATGTTTATATGCATAATATTGTGTGGTTCTCTGAGTTTGTATAAATATATATATACATACATATATATATATATATATATATATATATATATATATATATATATATATATACATGCATATATACATGCATATATATATATATATATATATATATATATATATATATATATATATATATATATATATACACACACACATGCACAT